ATTTCACTCACCCTAAGAAATAAATTCTTATGCCACAAACAACGCATCATAGGCTTGCCCATAGTGTAATACTCGACTGATCGAGCTCATTTGTTCTAGAATCAAGTAGGACTTTATTTGGTTGTAATGTTGGTTGCGGGACAGGTACAATACATATGGGTATAGTGACTACACCTCCCTAAGTATTTCAATACACTTTCCACTTTTAAGCCCATACCTTATCAAACCTTCATTCCACCTTTACATCATTAAGTTAAACCCCCTACTTCTTTAAGTACACTTTCTCTTTTGAAGACCACCATCATTTTGGGACTTATTCTTGTAAAAATTATTCAGCTCATTTTCCTCTTCCTTTTTTTTTTCCTCTGGTGGCTTCAAATATTGTTTATCACACAGTGCACCCCTTTTGTTTTTAAGTCTTCTTGGTTCCACTCAAAAGCCCAACCAACCACCTCATACTTTAACTCTTCCATTTTTATTACAATTCAAGTGCTTCTAAGGTTATAAGTTTCAAAGAGATTGGTACTTCAAAACTTGGTAAGGCTTGTAACGTGGTTGCCAAGGAAACATGATTACAGGCTCAAAGGGGTTAACTAGGATATACACTCCGGTGGGTAAAAACATATATAGATAGGTTCAACAAGGAAACGCCTATATCATTTTCCAGACCAATTAAGACTACTATTTCGCTTTGTACACACACAGGGCAAGTTACGCATTGAGTGTTAGAATAGAATACACAAAGCCTCACTCACACATGGCACATGACTTAATTCGATTAGGACCATCCGACACTCTGCTCAAAGTGTTTAAGCCAACTCAAGAACACACAATTTAAGGCTTTATTGCTGGAGTCAACTAATGAGCCTAAGTGTCACACTAAAGCAATCTCTATTCAAGGTGCCATGGAGTCAAGGGATCCTATTCTAATCTTTCCTCACTCAAAAGTTCCTAAACTACAAAAGAAAAACTGACTACACCCGGTTCAAATGGAAACCCTTGGAAAAGAATCGTAGTTTAAAGAAAAACCAAGGGGAAGTTGATACACTACCTAACAGAAGAAAATCTTTTTTTACGTTCGACTTAAGTCCCTCAAGAGACCCGTCGAGAGGTGTCCGTCTTCGGGCCAAGTCGAAGTTAATTAAAAATAATCAAAAACACCAAACAACAACAACAACAAACAAATGTATACAATTGTACAATAACAACCATCCACACCCCACACTTAAAGCTTTGCATGTCCTCATGTCAAAGAATTTAAAGCAGAGTAAGGTAAGGGGACTTCCCTGGTGCTCAATCCTGATCAGAGACGGTGCCAGGATTGAGGTGACACGCTCGTCCTAGCGCCCTAAGCCAGCCCATGATCTTTTTCTCTGACCTAACATTTTGAGTAGCCAAATTGTCAACTCTAGTACTCGGGTCAGTGACCGAAGTGCGTAAGCAAGCCAATTCTTGCTCCAGGTCTGTCATGCGGGTACTCCGGCGGGCCTGTGATGGGCCTGCCTCATGAGCACTCTGCTCTGGTGGGACGGCAGCATGCATAGTTCCCTCATCATCATCATCATCATCAGTCTCATCATCAGCATCAACCACCACAACCGGCTCTTTCCCAACTGTGATTTCAGGGGCTTTCAATGGCAACTTCCCATCTACTATGGGATTTTCACGAACTCGTGAAGCACAACACAGCTTGGTGACCAGGGAGAGGAAGTAGAACCCTTTGAGTACTTCCGGGGAGCGAATGAACATCTCTTCATGGATGAGCCGGGCCACATCAAAATCGTATTGGCTCATGAAACAATAAATCGTCGTAGCTCTTGGCCAATTAACATCGGTGGTGTTGCCAGACGGCAGCAAACGGCTGGTGATGATCATCACCTAACACTTAGCTTCCCAATTGAGAGATTGAGAGTTCAAGGTAATTCTCGACTTTATCCATATTGGATCCCGATTAGCCACACAGATTGTTTCAAGAATTGGTTGCCTCCCGGCATATAGAGAGGGTTGACAACCTCGATAATAATCTATCTCTCCAGTGAACACCGGCAACCTGTACACTCGATGGATGGCCTCAAGAGATGCTTCCACCGGTGTCCGGCGTACTGTGACAACCCTCTCAACATGTTCTGAGCAATTTGCATAGAATTCCCTTACCAGCAGAACATTGCCCTCCTCCGGTTCATCAAAGAAGATGTCCAAATGACGCCTCCTCAATTCTTCATAGATATGTAGGCATTCAATTTGCAAGGCATGCCTGTCAATGTGTACTTCTGGCAATAGCTTTTTGGACGCCTTTGCATTAAACTTATCTTGAGCTGCTTTGGAAATAAACCGAGAGCGGTCAAACTGGTCTACACTAGCCTGACCCCGAGCTCTGGATGACCCTCCTGGTCCACTAGTGGAGGAACCTGTGGCACGTCTCTTCCTTGACTAGTGCATTGTACCTGACAAAATAGATGCTACTATTAGTGAGGGTTTGAGTTGTGTGAACCCTGGGTGGTTACTCAGACTACACCACCACCATGGTCACATTAGCCATTACAGCTCCATTGGGGCAATTTCACAAACAACTCGTAAGCATGGTCTATAGTTGAACACACCTAACCTATAGAAGCATAAATTCACCCCCCACATCAACCATTCTCACTTCACAAATCCACTCCACCACACTTAACTTTACACAACAATATCAAACTCGTCTCTACAACATTTTTAAAATTACCCACTAAAAAGAAGAAAAGAAAATCAAAAGGCTAACTTGAAATACTACAAAAATTAAAGCATTAACTTGCAAAATAGAAAAGTACAAGAAGAGAGATGGAAAGTTTGCCATACCTGATTCTTGTAGAAGAAGAGAGTAATGAAAGTTGGGGAAGAGAGAGTTGGAAGTGTGTGGGTGTGTGTGGGATAGAAGAGGTTGTGTGAGAGATGTGAAGAAGAAGAAGAAGAAGAAGAAGAAGAAGAAGAAGAAGAAGAAGAAAGGGGCATGGGTTAGGGTTGGGGTTGGAAGAAAAAGATATGGGAAAATGGGGGGGGGGGGTTATTTGGTTTAATTTTATGAGAGGGGGGTAGGAGAAAAAAAAATAAGGTGAAGCATGGTAGGCCTGCTAAGTGTCCACCATAAGGTGAAGCATGGTAGGCCTGCAAAATAGAGGGTTGATCTTGCTCGAGGATACACTGCCGGATCATGTTATCAACACATATTTTAAGCAACAGGGGTTCATCCCAATAATATGCACGACAATCACGAAAAATTTCTTCTTTTGAATTAAGGAAAGGTCATGAGGTACAATACCACATGCTAAGTAATTAGCAATATCAGCATACCGTGGTGCCTCCTCCATTGTCATCGCAAGTAATTGCTCATCCGGGAATGTCTCAATCATATCTTCAACCTCTGTTCTCTTCTCTGCCCCTTCCAACCTCGAGAGGTGGTCTGCTACTTCATTGTCTGTCCCCTTTCGATCACGAATCTCCAGGTCAAATTCTTGTAGCAACAGAACCCAGCGAATCAAGCGGGGCTTTGACTCCTTCTTTGCTATCAAGTACCTAATGGCTGCATGGTCAGTATAAATAATAACTTTCGAACCAATAAGATATGACCTGAATTTGTCGAAGGCAAACACTACAGCGAGCATTTCCTTTTCTGTGACAGTGTAGTTCAGTTGTGCACCACTAAGCGTCCTGCTTGCATAGTAAATTGGGTGCATAATTTTCTCCTTGCGCTGCCCCAAAACCGCTCCTATAACATAATCACTAGTGTCGCACATCAGTTCGAATGGTTGTTCCCAGTTGGGTGCAACAATGATGGGTGCAGTCACCAATCTGTTCTTCAGCTCCTCAAATGCTAGCCTGCAATCATCAGAAAACACAAAATGCTGGTCTTTTTCAAGCAGCTTACATAAGGGGTTAGGAATTTTTGAAAAATCCTTGATGAACCGCCTGTAGAACCAGGCGTGCCCAAGGAAGCTTCTCACTGCTTTCACTGAAGTGGGTGTTGGGAGCTTCTCAATCACCTCAACTTTTGCATGGTCTACTTCAATTCCCTTTTTGGACACTGTATGCCCAAACACTATGCCTTTTTGTACCATAAAATGGCACTTCTCCCAGTTCACCACCAAATTTGTCTCCACACATCGTTTAAGCACTCTCTTAAGGTTGTGAAGACAATCTTCGAATGAATCTCCTACCACGGAGAAATCATCCATAAACACCTCCATAATGTCTTCAACCATGTCGGTGAAGATAGATAGCATACACCGTTGAATGTGGCCGGTGCGTTGCAAAGTCCAAAGGGCATTCTCCGAAAGGCAAAAATGCCATACGGACATGTGAAGGACGTTTTCTCTCTATTTTCCAGGGCTGTTGAGATCTTATTGTACCCCGAGTATCCGTCCAAGAAGCAAAAATGGGACTGCCTAGCTAACCTATCCAACATCTGGTCAATGAAGGGTAAGGGGAAATGGTCCTTTCGAGTAGCTGCGTTTAATTTCCTGTATTCCATGCAAATCCGCCACCCTGAGACTATACGAGTTGAGATCAACTCGTTCTTCTCATTTTGCACAACTGTCATTCCACCCTTTTTCGGTACGCACTAGACAGGGCTTACCCAATTGCTGTCAGAGATGGGAAAGATAATGCCCGCGTCCAGCCACTTGATTACCTCCTTTTTTACTACCTCCTTCATATTCGGGTTCAGCCTTCGTTGATGTTCCCTGGAAGGTTTGTGCCCTTCTTCCAAACGAATCTTGTGCATGCAGAAGGCCGGGCTGATACCCTTTATGTCTGCCATAGTCCAACCAATGGTAGTTTTGCATTCCTGCAACACCTGCAGTAATTGTTCTACCTGCACAGCTAACAAACCACATGATATAATAACAGGCAATGTAGACTTGGGACCCAAGAAAGCATACCTGAGGTGGGCTGAAAGCGGCTTCAGCTCCAGCTGTGGTGGTTCCTCTATTGATGGTTTTGCAGGTGGAGTAGTTCTCTTTTCTAACTCAAGCTCCTTGGCCTTCGAGTGCCATTACCCACTCTGCCAACCCTTCACCATCCATCTCCTCTAAATTTGTCAAGCAAGCTCCCAATAGATCCTTAGCATTTAGGATCTCATCATCTTCATGCAGGATTACATCCACATCTTCCACTAATGAGCAATTTGCATATTCACTAGGTCTCCTCATGGATTGTTGAACGTTGAATATAACTTCTTCATTGTTCAACCTCATTTTTAACACCCCAGTTTCACAATCAATCAATGCTCTCCCGGTGGCTAAGAATGGCCTCCCCAGAAAAATGGGTATCTCTTCATCTACCAGGCAGTCCAGAATAACAAAGTCTGCAGGGAATACAAACTTTTCCACTTACCAGCACATCATCAAGAATCCCCGTCGGCCTTTTAACCGTGCGGTCAGGCAGCTACAACAGCATCGAAGTCGGTCTAGCTCTGCCAATGCCCAATTTTGTGTATATTGCAAAGGCATCAAGTTTATGCTGGCTCCTAAGTCACACAATGCTCTTGCAAAAGGATAACTCCCAATAGTACATGGAATAGTGAAGCTACCTGGATCAGACATCTTTTGAGCCATGGGTCTTGTCACTACTGCACTGCAGGTCTTTGTCAGAGTTACTGTGGATAGGTCCTGAAAATCAAATTTTCGTGGCATCAGGTCTTTCATCATCATTGCATAACCTGGCATTTCCCTCAAAGCCGTGCGGTCACACAATGCCCAATTTTGTGTATATTGTCAAAGGCCTAGCTCTGCCAATGCCCAATTTTGTGTATATTGCCAAAGGCATCAAGTTTATGCTGGCACCTAAGTCACACAATGCTCTTGCAAAAGGATAACTCCCAATAGTACATGGAATAGTGAAGCTACCTAGATCAGACATCTTTTGAGCCATGGGTCTTGTCACTACTGCACTGCAGGTCTGTGTCAGAGTTACTGTGGATAGGTCCTGAAAATCAAATTTTCGTGACATCAGGTCCTTCATCATCTTTACATAACCTGGCATTTCCCTCAAAGCATCCATCAGAGAAATATTCAATTGAATTTGACGAAGCATCTCCATGAACTTCCTGTATTGATCTTCTTTTTTTTGTTTTGCTAATTTCTGAGGGAATGGTGCATGTATCACCCTTTGTTCACTGCTTGCTGGCTTCTATTTGTTGGGGTTTTGTGGCACAAGAGGTACCACCTGTTCTGCAGCTTGTCCACTCTCTTGATCCTTGCCCTTATCAACCTGAACCTGCTCAACCACCACTTGAGTAAGATCTGCTGATTCATCTATATCTACTGGAACTGGAGCGGCTGGTGTAGTTTCTCTTTTGGCTTGAGCAACTTCTTGCTCCTTGTGTAAATCTCTCTCATTCTGGAGGCTTACTGCCATCAGCTGATTCGGGTTTTGCTCTTTGGGGTTAATGTTTGTGTCGGCTGGCAATGTTCCCTAGGGGCGGTTATTCAAGGCCATAGACAGCTGCCCCAGTTGAGTTTCAATACCTTTAATTGCTGAGTCATGCGCTGCCAACTTTTCCTGCATCTTACCATTTGTTCCAATGAGCTCTTGCAGAATACCCCTAATTTCTACCATGTTGCTGTCCTGTTGCTGATGAGGTGGCTGATATGCCAACTGTTGCTGGTTCTGCTGTGGATAGCCCTGTTTCTCTGATATGGTGCCATTTGGCCTTGGCGCTGCATAACTCTAGGTTGTGGCATGTTCGGTCTGTACTGCTGATTGGGTGCTGATCTCCATTGTTGTACTCCTTGTCTCTGACCCCCAAAATTGTTGACATAATTCATATCCTCTCTTAACCCTTGGTTGTCACCTTCTCCACTCCATGAACACATTAAGACTGATTAATGCAAGGTGTACACAGTCCTCCATTTTTCGTATCAATGTGCACTTGTTTTGTACCCATTTCATCAATCTTCTTTGTCAAAATACCCATCTGAGTCATGAGTGTGGCTATATTCTCTGCATGTGAATTATTTGGGTCAAGGGGAACTGAATGCACTATTGGTGCTAGGGTTGTACCTCTCGTCATCCACCCCGAATTCTTGGGCGGGTAAAACTTGTTCAAGAACTGTTTGACTAATTCCTCCCAAGTGGCAATGGAGTTTATTGGGAGCGAATTTAGCCAAGTATGAGCTTCCCAGTCACAGAGAACGGGAACAGTAATAGTTTGATGGCTTCTGGGGTCACATTTGGCTGTCTTTGGGTCACACAAATTGACAGAAAATTTTTCAGATGTTGTTGAGGGTCTTCAATGTGTGACCCGGAGAACAATCCCTTATTCTGCAAAAGATGTAGCATGTTGTTGGTGATCTGGAATGTCTCCGCTTGTATTTGGGGCACAGCAATGGCGGTGGCCAGGTTGTCAGCTGTTGGTTGTGCCCAATCATAAAGTACAGCTTCTGGCACAAGAGGTGCTACCACTGTGTCGATTGGCACATTGACGTTTTCCATGTTGTTTTTTTCCATTTCGGTGATGAGTTGGTGTGTTTGTTGTGATTGTTTGTTCTTCTTGTTGGCACGGTTTAATGCCTTGAATGTTTTCTCGAGGTCTAAGAGTCCTTCAAGCAGTTCACCAATCCTCGAAGAATTTTTAGGCATACACCTGAATCACACAAGAATTCAAATGTGAGAATTTCAATGAAAAGTTATTTAACACCGTAGAAAATTGATCTAAACTAATAATTCTAGCACTACTTCTAAGTTGCAATAAATAACACCGTTAGTTCCCCGGCAACGGCGCCAAAATTTGATCATGCTCAACTATGCCTTATAAAAGACAAAGCGGTTGTTGCAAATATAATCCGGTTTTACAAGTCCAGAGTCGAATCCTCAGGGAACTAACCTATCTATTACAACTATTCGTGATGCTAATACAAGTTCAACCAATTTCCAGATGCAAGATTTTTATCAATAAACAGGGAGATTTATTTAACTAATATAAAAGGATATAAAACTACAATATTCTAAATTAAAGATAATTCGATGGTAAAAAGATCTAGGGTATTGATTTCCCCAATTGCTAGCTTAATTCTTAACTCTTTTGCTATAATCTCGCCGTGATACTCTATGAGGATTATGAGCTATGGGTTACCGCAATTATCTCTCGATCAATTACGATAATTTACTAGAGCATTATCTCGAACTACTCTAGCTGATAATTTATGCAGCTCGGAATTATCCCACCAAAGTTTCGTTATCTCTAACCCCTCTTTTGAATTCAAGTAATGAATCTCTTCAATTACCCAAAAGTGGTGTTGTTCAACAACAATCTAATCTAATATTCTTTCTCAAACAATATAAGGCAATTAGACACGATTAATCAAGGTCCCATTCAATTAATCACCATACAAAGCATAGTTGAACAATCATATAATAAACCCAACTCGATTTCAACAAAATTGAGTCAAAACTTCATCTAGCAATTGATTCCATCAACCCTAGATTAAATATTTAGCTACTCATAGTAAAGCAATATAAAACTAGAAAATCATTCATAATTCGCAAATAATGATAACAAGAAGAAGATTGAAAAACTGTAATTGTGTCTTTATCTTCTCACACTTGTTCTTGCCTCTAATTTAGTCTAAAAACCAGCTTAACCTTGACTTGGGCGAGTTTGTTGAGTTTATATAGGGTTAGGGTAAGTTTCCCACGATTTACACTTTGGCCCTCAAACTTCTTGGCTGTCTCTAGATCCACCGCGGTCGCGGCATGACCGCGGTATTTCACAAACATTCTGTTTCTCGCCTTCTTTCACCGCGTCCCAGCCGCGGTCGCGGTGAGCTGTTGCCCAGTTTTTCTTCACCTTTTCTTGCTCATTTTTGTCCGGGCTCTTCTCGATTGGCCTTGTATCTACATATTTGACCCCAAAACACTCTATATTCTCCTTCCAACTTGGGGTAGTTCCTGCAAAGCATAAAAACCTCAATTAGAGTATTTTGTTATCATTTAGCACTTAAAACATCAACAAAGTATGGTTAACTTAAGGCATAAATAGCATCTACATCATATAATATAGGCTACTATCAAGGTCGTCCTCGTCGGCCCTTACCTCGGCGCAATAGGCGTTGTGGATTTCTTCCCAAGTGGTGGGAGGGTACTTCATGAGCCTGCTTAACAACTTTCTGGTCGCTCTCGACATATTCTTGCTTAACCCATTCTGGAAGGATGCTACCGCCATCCCCTCTGACACATTCGGCAGGCTCATTCTCACCCTGTTAAACCGGGCTAGAAAGTCCCTGAGTCCCTCGCCGTGCGTCTGCCTAATGGCAAATATGTCGTTTACCCTAGCTTCCGCCTTTTTAGCTCCTGCATGAGCGGTGACAAACTTGTCGGCCATTTCTTCGAACGTTGCTATTGATCGTGCTGGTAGTTCTGAGTACCAGGTTAGGGCTCCCCCTGTTAGGGTTTCGCTGAATTTTTTCAGTAGCACCGATGCTACTTGTTCTTTCGAAAGATCGTTGCCTTTTACGGCTATGATGTAGTGGATGATATGATCTTCTGGGTCTGTAGTACCGTCATATATCTTCAGGTATGGTGGCATTTTGAAGGTTTTTGGAATGGCATGGGGGCTGCTTCCTCGTTGTATGGTTGCTCGATGAATCGACCAATGTCCCGTTTTGGTAACAACTTTGGGGCGCCTCGTATTTTGTCGACCCTTTCTTGATGCTCCTTCATCTGGTCACGGAGTGCCTTATTCTCGTTTTCCATTTTCTCCATTTCTTTTAGAATGGCTGCGAGTGAGTCATTACCTGCGTCAACAGTAGTATGAGTGTTACCTGTGATAGGGGCATCTTGTTCGCCAGCGATTGTCGTGACATCTATGTGTGCAATGTCTCTATTCTCCCTTTGAGCGGGTTTATCAAGTATGTATTTAGAGTGTTTGTTAGCCACTCTTCTAGTAGTCTTTTTACCGCCGGTGGTGCCTCTCCTGTTGTAGACGTGGAGGCTTCCTTTTCGCGCGAAGTAGTTATGCTTTCGTGCGGGGGAGGTGAAGTGTCTCTCCTAGGTGTAGCGTTTGGTGTCACGTTTTCGTTGTCTTCTCTGCCGTCTTCGTTGATGGTGTTCAGGATGTTAGTTGTGACACCTGCTATTGCTTTTAACCTTGCATCTCCTTTTCCTGCCATTGTTAGTTTATGCCAAGCTGGGAAGAGATGGCTATCCTTTTTATGATCTAGATGAAACTAAAATCTTAACTGAAGAATTTTCCACAGACGGCGCCAAATTGTTTGACCAAAAGATGTTAAACCCTTTGATTAAACCAATCTTATGATTAGAAGAAGGGTGAATCTCAGTTAAGAATAATAAAATCTAGACCAAGTGATAGAGGACGTAAGCCAGATGAATGATGTTAGCTAATATGTTGGAATCAATTAAATGCTCATAAATGCGACGGCCTAAATGCGCAATCAATCTAAGTAAATGCGATCGGCGTAGAAAGAAAATAAGTATGAGATGATTACAGAATCTTTGGATCTTCAGGATATCATATAATGATGTATATTTAGGTTGTGTAATCAATGAACAAGGCTGCTTTGGTATTTACTCTCAGATGAATCTTTTACAAAGTGTTCTTTTGTCTCTTGCCTGGCCCCCTTTTTTCTTTACTAACCCTTCCTATTTATAAGGGACAATCTCCCAAAAAACCCTAAAAAGTACAACATAAAGAATATTCGAAAAGCATATTCTTACTGTCTCCTACTAAGTTTAAACTACCGTTGACATCTCGTCTCGACTGACCGCTCTTGGTCGTCGTCCTTCATCACGACGACCATCAGACGTTGCGTTACGATAACCTCGTTCCTCGTCCTACTTGGTAACTGTCGTGGTTGTCAAATTTGGACCCATACAGTATGTATCTGTTGTTTTTCTATTCTTTTGGATAACTTTTTGTTACATTTTCGACATGAATTAATGTCAGTAATTAAACTTTATGATGTAGATAAAAGTAAATGAATGATAAATTTTGGAGAGAAAGCTGACGGAGAAGAATAAGAAAATTAAAGAAAGGGAAAATTATTATTGAAATTGGTGTTACGCCTGAGGTTGCAATGGTGTGATAAAGGAGTCTTTGATTTTGCAAGATTTGTATTAGTTAATAGGGAGACTACGGAAAACTTGAAGGTGGCTTTGAGTGGGGGTGGAAGAAGATGGTGAGGTGGCAGATTTAGGGCTGTTTGGTCGTGTGACTTGGCAGCTGGCATGGAAAAAATGGAGTGGGTCAGCTGCTACGGTATAGATTCGTTAGGGTAAGGGGCAATTTTTAAAAGTTGATTAAAGGTAGGGGCTAGATTGGACGAATAATATAACGGGTGGCAGAAGTAAATAATATAATTTAGTAAAGGAGCAATTTTGGACCTTATCTAAAGACAGAATGACGATGTACATAATATTAAAAATTCCTTTTGGACATATTAGTTATAACTTCCAATCCTGTATCTACATATCTTTAGCAGGGCATCCTCTATTTAAGATGTCTCAATTTTAGTTACTATATGGAAGCGAAAAGAGTGCAGTCCCATTTCTCTGCGGCGTACTTTATATGTTCGACCAGCCGACAACAATGACAAGTCGAGTAATTTTACTCAAGTGAGATTTGAGAAGGATAAGATGTATGCAACTTTATTCCTACGTTGAATGGCAAAGAGACTATTTTCGATAGATTTCGGCCGGATGTTTGACTAGCATTAGCCAAAATATTTGGTCCAGTATGACCCACTTAATTCCTTTTTTCATTTTCAATTATTGCTCGTCTAAATATGCTCGTGCAGTTCTCTCCACAGGAAATGCTTTTCATCATTCTTCACTAATTCTTTCTGGCACCAAATGAGGACCAATTTCAACAAAGTTTCAGACCGTGTGGTTGACATAAAATTGGACCAACATAGACCAAGAGGATACTTCCTTGTAGGGCTAGCATAATTTGATAAATATCGAATTACTGTATCGAAATTGAAAATTCTGGTATTTGGTATTCGATGTTTTGGTATTTGATTTAAGTTTAAAAAATATTGGTATTAGGTATGGTATTTGGTATTTGAAAATAAAATACCGAAATACCAATATCGTACCAAAATATAACACATATTATTAATTATAACATAAATATAAAAACATTACAATTTCACTTTCCATTGTTCTCTGAGTTCATCAATTAACTCTAAGCAAGTAACAAGACATTTTTAAAGATCAAATTTATTCTTTTATGTACAGTTTACTCTTTTTGGGTTGGTATTTGCTTGTTTTGGACAAAAATTTTATCAACAAACGTTTTTAGTTTTGTGCTTTCGAGTACTTTAATTAAGAATATTACGTCTATGACTCTATGCACTACTTAGTATTCAAACCGAAGTTACCGAGCCGAATAAACCGAAACAAGAAGAAAAACTGAATCATACCGAATTTAATTAGGTACGGTATTGGTATAGCATTTTAAGAAACTGAATACCGAAAATATCGAACCAAAATGTTTAAATACCGTACCGCACCGACCGACGAACACCCCTACTTCCTTGTTCCCTACAACCTTCAGCTTTAAGCAACGGTAACACTCCAGCCGTTTGCTTTTCATAAAAGTGCTCCAATTCCATTGTCACAGCCTTAATTAGATTAATACGTATACAATAATATATTAACACCACCGCCCTTATCTAGCATTTTTTGAAGTTGAAGATGCATCCATCCAGCACAAAATAAGTGGAATTAGAATAGCAGTAGTCAATAGGGACCATACGATTACGTTTTTAGAGTAACATTTAAGTTTAGAGGAATATACCACAGATAAGACAGTAGAGGAACCAAAAGATACCACAAAATTTAACTTTATTAGAAGGTCAAAAGGATGACCCTTAGATAAACAAGAACACACATTGATCATGACGAGCTAGGACGCTCCATATTTTCTAACAAACGCAGTAAGTCATAGTAATATCTCTCGCTCTTGTTGGGTTCGATCATATGGTTGGATCCGATGCGTTATGGGATTGGGACGTGGACGTGGTATATGGTAACCAAAACCCCAGATTCAATACAGAGTATTTGATCCATACAATGCATGCCCCATTCAGTGTTGTCTAGGTTTATGCTTCAAGAGCATCTGGCGGAGCTCAGCAGCGTCAATCTCTTTAGCATGACTTTCTGGCCTGTAGTAACCAGTTACTGGGTCTGGCACCCATGATGTTGTCTTCTTGCTTGTTTCTTCCCCACCTTTCTTCATCATAATATTAACCCCTGATCCTCTCACTCCACCTGACACACCAGTTGATGATGCAGCCGCATACCCACGCCTGCACAACATTCATGTTAACTCAGAAACTCCCATCAACAAAATCACTAATTTAATCAATAGCTTATCTCCCCTGTTTTCCTCAATGTTAACTACTTTCTCTTTGCATCATCATACTTATTTTTAACTTTCCTTTGTTATCCAACCCTTATAATCAAATTTTAAGCTACTGGGTCTAAATTAGTAAATTGTAAATAATCAATGAATTGTTCAACACAAATATAAGGATTGAACCAAAGCTATTGGATTCACCAAACACTAGCTCCGCCCCTGCTTATAACTCAACATAAACATAAAACAAAGTTAAACCCGAATGGAGTGAAATATTTAGTGTACAGACATAAAATAAACCTGACTGACATAGTTAAAGAAAATTCAACGACCTCAACTAATTTGAGTTTCTACTTTTTGAAAAAAGGGGAGGTGATAGTTGTTTCCAAACGAAAAAGGTGGAAAAGCATGGTTATATTTACCTGCTAACAAAGGAAGAAACAGTATCAACAACGTAAGCAGAGATGAGTTTGGAGTTAGAGAAAGAGCGAGCCATTTTGCTTGGAGTTGAAGCGAAAGAATTTCAAGGGAACGCTGCAGCGGAAGCTATTTATTTATAAAACTTCCACGGCGGCGAACTGAATCAACTACAATAGTTGGGAGCAGATACATGAGAAGGTGAAGTGAGATGTATATATAGATATAGACATGGAGGACTGAGAGGAAGGAAAGCAGAGCACCCACGACCACTTGCCTGGAGCGGCGGGGGTGGGGGGGGGGGGAGGTACAAGTGGGTCCACGTGATAGGTCGACCTCTACTCAGACGCAAAGGTCCTCTCATTGAATGACACCTTGGTCGATGCCACTAAGAGCCAATTTTACGTATAATAAATATCAGCGGGAGACAATTAAGGCCACAACAATAATACTCTTAATTATAAAAGTCGCCTCAAATTCAATTTAGATCTTTTATTTGCTCGACAATAAGTGTGCAGGAAGTTTACGTCTTATCGGCGATAAACATTAAAACGCATTTTTAAATGTAGAAAGTAAATATTTGAAATTACATTTTCTTTCAATCCATGAATCAATTAATTATGTCTGTGTATCATGTTAAGTTGTTAACTTGAATCAGTTATGTACTATATCTTTCTTTTGTTTAAATTAGACTTTTAAGATTTGAGTCTAATTATACTTTGATAGAGTATGTGTTAACTTGTTACACAGTGTGCACAGTTTAATTTATTTAATTATATTTTCAACACGTTTATCTCACGTGCGGACTTGGTTCTTTTTTATGAGTTAAGCACGTGAATTTATTTTTTTGAGATTGAATGGCGGTGAGACTCGAACGTAGGACCTCTGTCTGCTCTGTTACTATGATAAAATGTGTCATCATCTTATTTAAAAGTTTGAGCTGTTAGCTGTATGGGTCGAAATCTGACCACTCGCGGATCAGCGTTAAAAGGAATGGCAAGGGGCCGACTAAGCCGTGGCCGTATCCGTAAGGCATCATAACGACGAGTACCCCGGTCGCTGCCGAGATCGAACTGTTAGAAAGCTTGTAGGGCGAAGCATATGTCGTGACACTTAAGAGGAACGACCCAATGTACAATCAAGAGATTAGGGTACACTGGCTAAGAATCGTCGGATAAAATGGTATACTTACTATATATATAGGGGGTAAGAGAACAAGAAAAGGGGCGGTTCCTTCATCCAAAAGAGACAGAAGAACCGGAGAAGGCCTCTGAGGAAAAACAAGAGAAAGTATAGATCTTGACTACAAATCTTTGTAATCGTTGTTATCGAATCAATAAACACAGATCCCGTGGCTGTTAATGGCATTCTCTCTTTTCCTTCTTTACTCTTACATTACGGAACAGTACGTCAAGAATGCAAGCCTGTCATTTACGTTTGATATCTTTTACAATCTTGAAAAGTTTATAAAGTCGATCATATCCTATTCTCTTATTCAATGTGCTTTGATCTAGAGTTAATTATCCTTGGCCAGGATTTACCCTTCATTTTCTCATTAATTAGTTTAACAAAAAGCATAGCACTTTTTGTTCAAACAATTTGGCGCCGTCTGTGGGATTTCTTAGCCAAAATTTTAGTTCCCTCTAGATCTGAAGTCAGCTAGGATTTCACTCCCCGGCTGTCGCAGTCTCATCCTTTCATTTGCAAATACCAACTTGAGAACTTCGTAGGCAAGCTTTTGAAATAACCACACCAATCAAGGTCAAATCTTTACATGAAATCGAAGTTATGTCTGATATCCATATAAAACCCACGCCTCGCCTGTAGCGATGGGTTTGGCACGTCATATACGTATTCAAAGCGGGATTACAGTCGCTACGCCTTTAGCACGTCCACAATCGTATTTTTCGTATTAACGCTATATGTCGATATATACTTCTACCTCTTAGGAAGGGACAATAGCTTACTATGTGATTATTTGAAATAACCAGCATATCCTGCCTTATTTTTGTACCAGTATGCACTATGTAATTTATGTACAGAGTATAACATGTTTCCCTTATTTTTTGCGCACATCGGACGGGATAGGATCGGGGCTCGAGCTCGAGATCCCAACGGGCAGAGTAAGTTCAGTCCACGAGAAGCCTAGGCGCGACTAACGGCAAAGCCAAACACAGGGTTGCCAAATCTGAGACCGCCATTCGAGTACGGAACGAAGCAAGTCGTCCTACAGCGCCCTTCCCCCCTCACCTACTTACCAGGTCAAGGTAATAGGCAATTTCGTTTGGGTTTAACTCATACTTTCTTTTTTGGATCGGGATAGGAACACGAGCATTCTCACAGGTGCACGAACAAGGAACAAACGCCACCAAACACACCAAGAAAATATTTCGTACCGTATCATCTCGCAGGCGATGACCAAGCAAAACCCTCCGCGTCGTACCATATTACAAACAACAGAAACGGCGCAGAACAGGCCGACATTATTAAGAAACAATCTCCATAACCTAGGACTGAGCAATAAGCCCATGGAACGTATAGTCTCTCCAACACAGGCAGAACATAAACTCTAAAAGCTTGCACGTAAGCTCGCCATGACAATCCTACGCCAATTCAGCCGACCAAATATTACGGATCACGTCCGAACATCGTTTGAATTGATAAAGTCCCAAGGTTCCCAGTAGCCCATGCAATAAGTTCATCGCCCGTCACGTCAACGGCCTCTCCAGGCTGAGCAATGAAGGGACTAGGTAAACTGGGACTCCACTGACTCATACGAACTACGCAACGACGCACAATATTCTCCAGTGAAAGAAAGAATAACTAAACCGGACTCATTCTAACACATGCATAAACGATACAACAACGAATAATGCTCTTCAATAAAAGCAAAGTCGCATGCGACATCCCTACCAATCCACCGAACCAATACGTAGCCAAAATTACGGGTCGCAATTCGACCTCGCTCGAATTTAGACCCTTACGGCCCCCAACCGTCGCCAAGTGAAAATGAAATTCGACCTCGTTCGAATTCACAACGGGTCACAATTCGACCTCGCTCGAATTTACACCCTTACTGCCCCCGGCCATCGCCAAGTGAAAATGAAATTCGACCTCGTTCGAGAACGGGTCACAATTAGACCTCGCTCAAATTCACACCCTTACGGCCCCCGGCCATCGCCAAGTGAAAATGAAATTCGACCTCGTTCGTATTTACAACGGGTCACAATTCGACCTCACTCGAATTTACACCCTTACGACCCTCGGCTGTCGCCAAGTGAAAATAAAATTCGACCCCATTCGAATTCACAAAAGGTCACAATTCGACCTTGCTCGAATTTACACCCTTACGGCCCTCGGCCATCGCCAAGCGGAAGTAATATACGACTTCTCTTGAATTTACAAGTCGAAACTGACTCCGACCTAGTTGGCAAGTCAGACATCGACCTCGCTCGAATTTACACGTCAAAAATGACTTCGCCCAAGTTGGCAAGTCTGACTTCGGTCTCGCTCGAATCAAGAAAAATAAAACCGCATTCGAGTTCCCAAGTAAAAATCAGGGACTCATCGCGGGGAAATCTGAAGATCTTTTTCAAAAGAAAAAGGAGAAGAAAAAAGAAAGTCAAAAGATAAGCAACCAAAGGCTAAACAACTGTCTTATTCAGAAGATGTACATACGCAACAGTTGCGCATTACAAAAGGCCAAAAGTGGGCCTCTTAGAAGAAAAGAAAAACAAACAGCAATAAAAGAACAAAAGAAAACTAAGTACAAAAGCTGCAAAAATAATCACTCGGCGTCATCTCCACCTCCGTTCACTCCAGCGTTTTCATCATCAGAAGGAAGCTCATCTTCAATCTCAGCACCCTCACCGGCCTCCGATGTTGCAGGGTCATAACCGCAGGCAAGACGAGCCTCGCGTGCCTTTGCCCGAGCCTCTTCAAAAGCGGCCTCAGGAACGCTCCCTGCCTCCCACAAACCCTTGTATATATCTCGTTGGTGTTGATACCAATTTTTCCCTGTATTTTTTTTAATATGCAAAATACCTTCAATATAGCATGTATATGCATATATAAGTATGTCCCAATGTTTTATTATTTTTCCTAATTTTTATTAAATCAATTTATTGCCTTATTTTATCAAGAAAAACCCAATAATTATTCCCAAAATTATCATTTTGGTAATTCATTTATTGGATTCTCATATTTACACTAAAATATAGCTAACATAATTTTTTATGCATTTTTTACAACTTTATTTAGTATTTTAAAAGCTAATTGCATATAATTGCAATATTAGCCTCTTTTAAGGTTTAATTGTGCTTATAATTATAAAATTGACTCCAGTATTTTTAATTTGATAATTACATATTATTAATCATTTTAGTACCTTTAATTTATTTCCAGAAATTATTCTACTATTTTTATAAAATAAACAAGGGAAAAATGGCTATTTAAATATTAGCCCATTTTCATTTCAATTTTTAGCCTGACTTGGCACCCCAATTAGACCCAATCTTAAAACCCAATTACCCAACCCAAATCCTAATCTACCCGACCCACGACACTTTTAAAATAACCCGCCCGGATCCCCATCAATCCAGGCCGTTGATCAAAATGATCAACGGCCACCATTTAATCTTTCCTTTTTAATTCCCCATTACCCCCCAAACCCTAATCACTTCTCACCGGTAGCTGCCCTTGAATCCCCCCTTCTCCCAAACTCTCTCTCAAACCTAGCCGCCACCTTTTAACACCACCCTAAAATTGCATGAATCAATGGCTTCCAAAGCCATTAAAGGCCTGTATCTGCCTCCTGTGACTCCTAGATGCTCGATTATTATGGTTTCAAGACCAGACTTTGAAGAAGCTTGGTCCAGACCTCGGATGCTTTTAGTTCTATGGCTGTTTCCGGCCATCTTTGACCTTGTTCCGGCCGGCCATGGCTATTCAAGCCTGACTCTTGGCTTTTCCTGCTCAGATCAATGACATCCAAGCCTTTCTCACCATCTGGGTTCTTCTGAAACCCTAACCTTCGAGGTTCTTCTGATTCTTTTAGATCCGTTGTAGATCTGTGTTTTCTCTAAGCTTTTAAATATTTTCTCAAAGTTTCTTTCAAAACTTTACCTTCAGAACCTTTATCTTTTCCGATTTAGGGTTTTGTTAAGTTATTTAGAAGTTTCTCTGATCTTTAGCATGTTCTAC